TCCCGAAGTTTTATTTCCCGGTAATTCGATTGCCACGCTCGGCAGGACGTCAATCCTCGCCCTCGCCCTGCTTCGCCTCATCAGCCCCAAACCCGCCGCCCCTCAGCTCACCCCACTTCCCTCCGTAAAAAAGCCTTCAAAGTTCCCGAACGGAAGTAAAAGACGCGCTGAAAAATGATGGAAGACGGCGTAGGAGGTGCGGGTGAAAGAAGCCGGGGGATAAACGGTCCTATACGGCGAAAAAACTCGGGAGGTAAAAAATATTCCGGAGTGGTAAGTGAAAGGCGCGCGCGCGTGCGCGCGTAAAGGATATCGATGAAGAAGATCGGCGGCGGTCGAATTAATGCGACTTTATTAAAAGCTCGAGCGGAAAATCTCGGCGTGCGGCCTCGCGCCGACATTAGCCTGGAAGGAGCAAGGGTCGCCCGCGAAAAACAAATGTCATTCGTAGATAGTAAATCCCGCGGCTTAGAGACACGCGGAATGTTCTCACAGTGCGCGCGACTCCTTACGGCCGCCGCCACGAGGAAATAAACCCACGACTTTATATATGTGTGCGTAATAATGCCGCCAAGCGATTTACTCCCCGTCTACCATCGTACATCAAAATTTCTTTCTATTCTGCCATCTCGCCTCTTTATCTCCTGCTTAGTACTTCTTTCTCCCAGTATCATTTTTTATCCCCTCGCCGCTTTCATAAACTGAACGGTTTATGATCCCCTCCGACCCGCGCCCCGACGCTCCACATCTTCTCCTCCTTTCTATCCTCCTCTCTGTCTCTCGCTACAAAACCGCTGCTGCTGCTGCTGCTGCTGTTACCTCTGCCTCTGCCAATGCCTCTGCCGTCGTCGCCGTCGCCGCCACCACCGCTGCTTCTGCATACTTTCTTACTTGCATACTTCTTTTCAATCTTCATTTACGGCCGTGGATTTATTTTATCTGAAAAATGATAAATTCTCAAACTGGCGAGCCATTTTACTTTACCTTTATCCTCGCTACTTTCGTTCGAAAAATGAAATTGTCAATTCGCTTAACGAGCCAACTTTCGTTTCTTCACTTCCGTCGCGCGCGCTCTCTTTATTCCTATTCAATGTATCAGCTAACTAAAGTATTTCTTCCTGCCGCTCCCTTCACATAATGCTACCTGCGATCCCGTGCTATTACACGTGTACCATTCTTTATGCTCGTCCTTTTCCGCGTTCTGTGCTATACATTTCATAAATAACAGGCGGCAGTGCTGATTATTATTTCCTCCGTGCGCTTCTTACTAAATGTT